GGTTGGTCAATCCTGCTTCCGTAGTGATACTGCCTCGGAAACCCAAGGAGGGGTCGCTATGAGTCAGGGCCGACTCGACGGCATATAACAACAACAACAACAACAGGGGCCCAGGCCAGGCCCTGACAGCCAGGTGCCATGGTGCAGCCAGAAAGGTGCCCCTCTGGGCAGACCCTGCAGCACTGGGGGCACAGCCTGGTGCCACTCACCTACCCATGATTGCCTCTGGACCTCAGTCCTGTCCCTGTCCCTTGGCGTCCTCAGGAAGGGCTGGACGAGGGGCCAACTAGGCAGTGGCTGAGGAGCCAAGCAGGGTGAGGGGCTGGCTCGGCTGGGCTCGGGGCCTCGGGCTTCGATGCCGTGGGTGGAGGTGCTCCCAGGGGCTGGTGCAGCAGCACGATACCCCCATTGTCCTTCCTCGTTGGTCAGGGGACCAGGTCTCCCCGCAATCACTTTTGACGTGATCCAGAGCGTCCCCTGGCCTGGCTGAGCCTCCGACAGAGAAAAGCCCCACCTTGTTGGAGGAAGACTCAAACTGAGAACAGAGAAGGTCTTGGAATGGAAACTTCCATTGAGAAAGAGGGAAGGGGAGGGATTAATTTCGGGTTCATTGGGGCCCACACGCTGACACGGGTAAGGGAAGGGATCTACGGAAAGGATCTGTGACCACCATGATAACGGGAAATGGGAGGACACCGAATTGTGTACATAAGAGATAGACGACAGATGCTAATACCAACCAATGTGTCCACAATACTGCATTACCATTAACACCAAACACCAGGCTACAGATAAACACGTAAACACCTGAGAGGATCAGATGAGGGTTGGTGAATAGGAGTATACTCTAGACCAAGGATAGAGTCAGCTGAGGCTAATCTTGCTCAGTCACCAGTGATACGAAATACCTGCAGTCCTTACAGAAACAACAGAAGACAGACACGGACACCATGGGAGAGAGATCCAATGGATCTACCATCTCAGGACCATCGTACTGGGGGTCACCAGACTCAATTGGCTCAACAAAATACATAATAAGCCTTGTTCCTCATCCTACATTGGAGAGTAGTGATGGGTCTTAAAAGCTTTCAAGAGGCCATCTAAGGTGCAGCTAATGGTCTCCTAGCATCAGAAGCGAAGAGGAGTGCAGAAAAACCAAGGGCATTTGGAAGCACTCAGCTGTAGGACACGATGGCCCTCGAAACCAGAAGAACTAGGTGGTGCCTGGCTACCAATGCCAACCACTCAGGAAAGGATCAAATCTGGAGATCC